CACTTCCGCCGAGTCTATGCAGATCATAAACGTGTCTGCTGGTGGTAACGAAGTTATACGCAGGTGTAGGCATCTCATTGGTGCTTTCAAATACATGAAACTCGGCAATGTCTCTCTCAAGCTGGTCCCTGCATCTACACTTCCCGTAGATCCTCTTGGACTTTCTTACGATGATGACGACCCTCTCACAGTTGACCCTCGTGATCAGCTTAACCCTGGTCTCGTCAGGATCACCAATGGAGAAGATCTGTTTACGAATGTCTCTGATCTCACCGATGAAGAGCAGAAAGGTATGTACAATGCCATGATGCTTGATCCCCGCTGGTTCAAGTGGTCCCTTCAGTCTGGTATGCGTAGGACTGCAGCACCTCTCTACTGGCAGGTTGGACAGCTTCATCAGGACGTCTTCCCGGGTGCAACTACCAACGTTCCGGATCTTGGAACCAATGGTAAGACCGTTCCTCCTGGAATCGATAAAGAGGTGCATTTCGAGTATGCTTCTACCGTTGGTCAGCACAACAACTTCGTACATCAGACCGAACTCGGAAAATCTGATCCTCGTGGATTCTTCCAGATCGGACATAAAGGAAGGATGGGTTACATTCCCACTGACGCATATGCACAGTACGCTGATGTTGAAGGTATCAAAGACTTCCCCATGATCAACCCCGTTCCTGAGGTTCAGTGTTTCACCATTGTCCTCCCGAAGGCAGAGAAAACCGTATACTACTACAGGGCATACGTAACCGAGACTGTGTTCTTCACTGGTCTTAGGACTGTTGGAGTATCTATGGGTGATTTCTCTATCAAGAGGAACTATGTTGGTATTGATCAGTTCATCCGCCCTAGGATCGTTGCAGCTGAACCCAAATGGGCTGAGCCTGTAACCGAACCCAAACGTAACGATGGAAGTGATGTATGATGTCCATCATCAAGGTCTACAGTAAATTCGGAGAAGTCGAGGTTGAGCCTCTCACCCTCGTCGATATTCACCCTTCCGCAAATGCGGAGGAAAAAAGTATCATCAATTCCGACAGTAACCGCGAACACCAAGAATAACCAAGGTTCGCCTCGGTGAGTTGCTGATCATTTCCCCCCCTTGTCTTCACTGGAGGGGGCTTGGGGGGACACTGTGAGGTCCCCCCTCTACCTCTTGTTAAACTGTTTCCCCCTATCCCCCTAGGGGGGATAGGAGTTTTCTAGTGTTACGATTTAAAACTCCTGACAACCGCATGTCCGCCGATCGTCGGGTAATACTTCGTCCTCACGTGCGTTTCCCTTTTTGGATCCTGCTCGATGAACAGTCTTTGCCATCTGTCGGTTGAGAGTCCGTCCCAGTCTGCTGGTTGGTGGTTTGTGAATACAATGATTGTAGGAGGGTGTATCCACTTTGCTCTGTAGTTGTATCTAACATCGTTAAGATAGCCGTTTTTAATTGTTTCAATGCTATTCCAGAGGGCATCGGTTTGTTTAGTGTTCCTAGTAAGGTCGATAAGTATGAGGCTTGACTGTCTATACTCCGTAATGTCGTATAGATTTCTGTTAATGTCATCAGCTCCTTTTGAACCGTCGATGTAAATTCCATGTCCATTTAAATCACACCATCTTCCGAGAAAAGTTTTGCCAGATCCTCCGCGTTTGTCGATAACGAGCAGGATGTTACGGTCTCCTTCCTTTTTGCTGAGGGCAAGAATGTAAAGTTGCACATCTTTAAGGTGTCTGAATCTGTATTTACCCAGTTCACTATCCACTGATCTGTAGAAATTTCCATCCTTGCATTCATATTCACTCCATCCCCCTGCTTGGAGTAGGTTACATGCGATATCTCCCCAATATTCGCGTTCTTCCCCAATATCTCCGTTACTGCACTCATAACGGATTTGATAATGTTTATATCCGCTGTGGGTTCCCATTTCGATTCCGAATTGCCATCTCTTGGCTCTTCTTCGTAGTCTGAATAATAACTCACGCTTGCTCAACTCCTCACATGGGATAGTCATGATCCATATCTGCGTCATACTTTACGATCCTGATCTCTACGAGATCGCCTGCTCTGAGGTTCAGTCCTTCCATCACTGCGCTGTCGAGAACTACCGCATAGGTGTTTCCGTGTGTAACAACTTTTTTAGTTATGTACATCTTCTATACTCCGTACGTATGTTATACGCATTACGACTTGTAAACGACGGTTCGCCGAATACGGTCAATCTGCGTATACTTATGTACACCTAGGAGATACAAAAATGTATGGTAGGTACTACAGAAGGAGAAGGTACGGATACAGGAGTAGGCGCAGGTCTTATGGTAGGCGCAGGAGATGGTGATTGAATGGTCTTTCCTCTTCTTGCTGGTGCCACCCTTGGTATCAGTGCTGCTAGCAATCTGTACGCTCAGAAAAATCAGAGGAGGATGTACCGTCAGTTTGCCAAAGGATATGATGCGCTCGATAAAGGATATGGATCTTTCCTCGCTCGTCAAGGAAGGCGTTACAATCCTCACCGCCGTCTTACCTCTTATGGTGGCCAACTCCTCAAAGCTCAAACAAATCTTGAAAACAGCTATACCTCTTCTGTCGGCACTACTGCTTCTGGCCTTGGAGCAGGATTCGCAGTCGCAGGTAGATCTAAAAGATGGATGTGATGAAAAATGAAGTACAAATTCCAGTATTTCTTCGATATTGCCACTTCCGCCGAGTCTATGCAGATCATTAAACGTGTCTGCTGGTGGTAACGAAGTTATACGCAGGTGTAGGCATCTCATTGGTGCTTTCAAATACATGAAACTCGGCAATGTCTCTCTCAAGCTGGTCCCTGCATCTACACTTCCCGTAGATCCTCTTGGACTTTCTTACGATGATGACGACCCTCTCACAGTTGACCCTCGTGATCAGCTTAACCCTGGTCTCGTCAGGATCACCAATGGAGAAGATCTGTTTACGAATGTCTCTGATCTCACCGATGAAGAGCAGAAAGGTATGTACAATGCCATGATGCTTGATCCCCGCTGGTTCAAGTGGTCCCTTCAGTCTGGTATGCGTAGGACTGCAGCACCTCTCTACTGGCAGGTTGGACAGCTTCATCAGGACGTCTTCCCGGGTGCAACTACCAACGTTCCGGATCTTGGAACCAATGGTAAGACCGTTCCTCCTGGAATCGATAAAGAGGTGCATTTCGAGTATGCTTCTACCGTTGGTCAGCACAACAACTTCGTACATCAGACCGAACTCGGAAAATCTGATCCTCGTGGATTCTTCCAGATCGGACATAAAGGAAGGATGGGTTACATTCCCACTGACGCATATGCACAGTACGCTGATGTTGAAGGTATCAAAGACTTCCCCATGATCAACCCCGTTCCTGAGGTTCAGTGTTTCACCATTGTCCTCCCGAAGGCAGAGAAAAACCGTATACTACTACAGGGCATACGTAACCGAGACTGTGTTCTTCACTGGTCTTAGGACTGTTGGAGTATCTATGGGTGATTTCTCTATCAAGAGGAACTATGTTGGTATTGATCAGTTCATCCGCCCTAGGATCGTTGCAGCTGAACCCAAATGGGCTGAGCCTGTAACCGAACCCAAACGTAACGATGGAAGTGATGTATGATGTCCATCATCAAGGTCTACAGTAAATTCGGAGAAGTCGAGGTTGAGCCTCTCACCCTCGTCGATATTCACCCTTCCGCAAATGCGGAGGAAAAAAGTATCATCAATTCCGACAGTAACCGCGAACACCAAGAATAACCAAGGTTCGCCTCGGTGAGTTGCTGATCATTTCCCCCCCTTGTCTTCACTGGAGGGGGCTTGGGGGGACACTGTGAGGTCCCCCCTCTACCTCTTGTTAAACTGTTTCCCCCTATCCCCCTAGGGGGGATAGGAGTTTTCTAGTGTTACGATTTAAAACTCCTGACAACCGCATGTCCGCCGATCGTCGGGTAATACTTCGTCCTCACGTGCGTTTCCCTTTTTGGATCCTGCTCGATGAACAGTCTTTGCCATCTGTCGGTTGAGAGTCCGTCCCAGTCTGCTGGTTGGTGGTTTGTGAATACAATGATTGTAGGAGGGTGTATCCACTTTGCTCTGTAGTTGTATCTAACATCGTTAAGATAGCCGTTTTTAATTGTTTCAATGCTATTCCAGAGGGCATCGGTTTGTTTAGTGTTCCTAGTAAGGTCGATAAGTATGAGGCTTGACTGTCTATACTCCGTAATGTCGTATAGATTTCTGTTAATGTCATCAGCTCCTTTTGAACCGTCGATGTAAATTCCATGTCCATTTAAATCACACCATCTTCCGAGAAAAGTTTTGCCAGATCCTCCGCGTTTGTCGATAACGAGCAGGATGTTACGGTCTCCTTCCTTTTTGCTGAGGGCAAGAATGTAAAGTTGCACATCTTTAAGGTGTCTGAATCTGTATTTACCCAGTTCACTATCCACTGATCTGTAGAAATTTCCATCCTTGCATTCATATTCACTCCATCCCCCCTGCTTGGAGTAGGTTACATGCGATATCTCCCCAATATTCGCGTTCTTCCCCAATATCTCCGTTACTGCACTCATAACGGATTTGATAATGTTTATATCCGCTGTGGTTCCCATTTCGATTCCGAATTGCCATCTCTTGGCTCTTCTTCGTAGTCTGAATAATAACTCACGCTTGCTCAACTCCTCACATGGGATAGTCATGATCCATATCTGCGTCATACTTTACGATCCTGATCTCTACGAGATCGCCTGCTCTGAGGTTCAGTCCTTCCATCACTGCGCTGTCGAGAACTACCGCATAGGTGTTTCCGTGTGTAACAACTTTTTTAGTTATGTACATCTTCTATACTCCGTACGTATGTTATACGCATTACGACTTGTAAACGACGGTTCGCCGAATACGGTCAATCTGCGTATACTTATGTACACCTAGGAGATACAAAAATGTATGGTAGGTACTACAGAAGGAGAAGGTACGGATACAGGAGTAGGCGCAGGTCTTATGGTAGGCGCAGGAGATGGTGATTGAATGGTCTTTCCTCTTCTTGCTGGTGCCACCCTTGGTATCAGTGCTGCTAGCAATCTGTACGCTCAGAAAAATCAGAGGAGGATGTACCGTCAGTTTGCCAAAGGATATGATGCGCTCGATAAAGGATATGGATCTTTCCTCGCTCGTCAAGGAAGGCGTTACAATCCTCACCGCCGTCTTACCTCTTATGGTGGCCAACTCCTCAAAGCTCAAACAAATCTTGAAAACAGCTATACCTCTTCTGTCGGCACTACTGCTTCTGGCCTTGGAGCAGGATTCGCAGTCGCAGGTAGATCTAAAAGATGGATGTGATGAAAAATGAAGTACAAATTCCAGTATTTCTTCGATATTGCCACTTCCGCCGAGTCTATGCAGATCATAAACGTGTCTGCTGGTGGTAACGAAGTTATACGCAGGTGTAGGCATCTCATTGGTGCTTTCAAATACATGAAACTCGGCAATGTCTCTCTCAAGCTGGTCCCTGCATCTACACTTCCGTAGATCCTCTTGGACTTTCTTACGATGATGACGACCCTCTCACAGTTGACCCTCGTGATCAGCTTAACCCTGGTCTCGTCAGGATCACCAATGGAGAAGATCTGTTTACGAATGTCTCTGATCTCACCGATGAAGAGCAGAAAGGTATGTACAATGCCATGATGCTTGATCCCCGCTGGTTCAAGTGGTCCCTTCAGTCTGGTATGCGTAGGACTGCAGCACCTCTCTACTGGCAGGTTGGACAGCTTCATCAGGACGTCTTCCCGGGTGCAACTACCAACGTTCCGGATCTTGGAACCAATGGTAAGACCGTTCCTCCTGGAATCGATAAAGAGGTGCATTTCGAGTATGCTTCTACCGTTGGTCAGCACAACAACTTCGTACATCAGACCGAACTCGGAAAATCTGATCCTCGTGGATTCTTCCAGATCGGACATAAAGGAAGGATGGGTTACATTCCCACTGACGCATATGCACAGTACGCTGATGTTGAAGGTATCAAAGACTTCCCCATGATCAACCCCGTTCCTGAGGTTCAGTGTTTCACCATTGTCCTCCCGAAGGCAGAGAAAACCGTATACTACTACAGGGCATACGTAACCGAGACTGTGTTCTTCACTGGTCTTAGGACTGTTGGAGTATCTATGGGTGATTTCTCTATCAAGAGGAACTATGTTGGTATTGATCAGTTCATCCGCCCTAGGATCGTTGCAGCTGAACCCAAATGGGCTGAGCCTGTAACCGAACCCAAACGTAACGATGGAAGTGATGTATGATGTCCATCATCAAGGTCTACAGTAAATTCGGAGAAGTCGAGGTTGAGCCTCTCACCCTCGTCGATATTCACCCTTCCGCAAATGCGGAGGAAAAAAGTATCATCAATTCCGACAGTAACCGCGAACACCAAGAATAACCAAGGTTCGCCTCGGTGAGTTGCTGATCATTTCCCCCCCCTTGTCTTCACTGGAGGGGGCTTGGGGGGACACTGTGAGGTCCCCCCTCTACCTCTTGTTAAACTGTTTCCCCCTATCCCCCTAGGGGGGATAGGAGTTTTCTAGTGTTACGATTTAAAACTCCTGACAACCGCATGTCCGCCGATCGTCGGGTAATACTTCGTCCTCACGTGCGTTTCCCTTTTTGGATCCTGCTCGATGAACAGTCTTTGCCATCTGTCGGTTGAGAGTCCGTCCCAGTCTGCTGGTTGGTGGTTTGTGAATACAATGATTGTAGGAGGGTGTATCCACTTTGCTCTGTAGTTGTATCTAACATCGTTAAGATAGCCGTTTTTAATTGTTTCAATGCTATTCCAGAGGGCATCGGTTTGTTTAGTGTTCCTAGTAAGGTCGATAAGTATGAGGCTTGACTGTCTATACTCCGTAATGTCGTATAGATTTCTGTTAATGTCATCAGCTCCTTTTGAACCGTCGATGTAAATTCCATGTCCATTTAAATCACACCATCTTCCGAGAAAAGTTTTGCCAGATCCTCCGCGTTTGTCGATAACGAGCAGGATGTTACGGTCTCCTTCCTTTTTGCTGAGGGCAAGAATGTAAAGTTGCACATCTTTAAGGTGTCTGAATCTGTATTTACCCAGTTCACTATCCACTGATCTGTAGAAATTTCCATCCTTGCATTCATATTCACTCCATCCCCCTGCTTGGAGTAGGTTACATGCGATATCTCCCCAATATTCGCGTTCTTCCCCAATATCTCCGTTACTGCACTCATAACGGATTTGATAATGTTTATATCCGCTGTGGGTTCCCATTTCGATTCCGAATTGCCATCTCTTGGCTCTTCTTCGTAGTCTGAATAATAACTCACGCTTGCTCAACTCCTCACATGGGATAGTCATGATCCATATCTGCGTCATACTTTACGATCCTGATCTCTACGAGATCGCCTGCTCTGAGGTTCAGTCCTTCCATCACTGCGCTGTCGAGAACTACCGCATAGGTGTTTCCGTGTGTAACAACTTTTTTAGTTATGTACATCTTCTATACTCCGTACGTATGTTATACGCATTACGACTTGTAAACGACGGTTCGCCGAATACGGTCAATCTGCGTATACTTATGTACACCTAGGAGATACAAAAATGTATGGTAGGTACTACAGAAGGAGAAGGTACGGATACAGGAGTAGGCGCAGGTCTTATGGTAGGCGCAGGAGATGGTGATTGAATGGTCTTTCCTCTTCTTGCTGGTGCCACCCTTGGTATCAGTGCTGCTAGCAATCTGTACGCTCAGAAAAATCAGAGGAGGATGTACCGTCAGTTTGCCAAAGGATATGATGCGCTCGATAAAGGATATGGATCTTTCCTCGCTCGTCAAGGAAGGCGTTACAATCCTCACCGCCGTCTTACCTCTTATGGTGGCCAACTCCTCAAAGCTCAAACAAATCTTGAAAACAGCTATACCTCTTCTGTCGGCACTACTGCTTCTGGCCTTGGAGCAGGATTCGCAGTCGCAGGTAGATCTAAAAGATGGATGTGATGAAAAATGAAGTACAAATTCCAGTATTTCTTCGATATTGCCACTTCCGCCGAGTCTATGCAGATCATAAACGTGTCTGCTGGTGGTAACGAAGTTATACGCAGGTGTAGGCATCTCATTGGTGCTTTCAAATACATGAAACTCGGCAATGTCTCTCTCAAGCTGGTCCCTGCATCTACACTTCCCGTAGATCCTCTTGGACTTTCTTACGATGATGACGACCCTCTCACAGTTGACCCTCGTGATCAGCTTAACCCTGGTCTCGTCAGGATCACCAATGGAGAAGATCTGTTTACGAATGTCTCTGATCTCACCGATGAAGAGCAGAAAGGTATGTACAATGCCATGATGCTTGATCCCCGCTGGTTCAAGTGGTCCCTTCAGTCTGGTATGCGTAGGACTGCAGCACCTCTCTACTGGCAGGTTGGACAGCTTCATCAGGACGTCTTCCCGGGTGCAACTACCAACGTTCCGGATCTTGGAACCAATGGTAAGACCGTTCCTCCTGGAATCGATAAAGAGGTGCATTTCGAGTATGCTTCTACCGTTGGTCAGCACAACAACTTCGTACATCAGACCGAACTCGGAAAATCTGATCCTCGTGGATTCTTCCAGATCGGACATAAAGGAAGGATGGGTTACATTCCCACTGACGCATATGCACAGTACGCTGATGTTGAAGGTATCAAAGACTTCCCCATGATCAACCCCGTTCCTGAGGTTCAGTGTTTCACCATTGTCCTCCCGAAGGCAGAGAAAACCGTATACTACTACAGGGCATACGTAACCGAGACTGTGTTCTTCACTGGTCTTAGGACTGTTGGAGTATCTATGGGTGATTTCTCTATCAAGAGGAACTATGTTGGTATTGATCAGTTCATCCGCCCTAGGATCGTTGCAGCTGAACCCAAATGGGCTGAGCCTGTAACCGAACCCAAACGTAACGATGGAAGTGATGTATGATGTCCATCATCAAGGTCTACAGTAAATTCGGAGAAGTCGAGGTTGAGCCTCTCACCCTCGTCGATATTCACCCTTCCGCAAATGCGGAGGAAAAAAGTATCATCAATTCCGACAGTAACCGCGAACACCAAGAATAACCAAGGTTCGCCTCGGTGAGTTGCTGATCATTTCCCCCCCTTGTCTTCACTGGAGGGGGCTTGGGGGGACACTGTGAGGTCCCCCCTCTACCTCTTGTTAAACTGTTTCCCCCTATCCCCCTAGGGGGGATAGGAGTTTTCTAGTGTTACGATTTAAAACTCCTGACAACCGCATGTCCGCCGATCGTCGGGTAATACTTCGTCCTCACGTGCGTTTCCCTTTTTGGATCCTGCTCGATGAACAGTCTTTGCCATCTGTCGGTTGAGAGTCCGTCCCAGTCTGCTGGTTGGTGGTTTGTGAATACAATGATTGTAGGAGGGTGTATCCACTTTGCTCTGTAGTTGTATCTAACATCGTTAAGATAGCCGTTTTTAATTGTTTCAATGCTATTCCAGAGGGCATCGGTTTGTTTAGTGTTCCTAGTAAGGTCGATAAGTATGAGGCTTGACTGTCTATACTCCGTAATGTCGTATAGATTTCTGTTAATGTCATCAGCTCCTTTTGAACCGTCGATGTAAATTCCATGTCCATTTAAATCACACCATCTTCCGAGAAAAGTTTTGCCAGATCCTCCGCGTTTGTCGATAACGAGCAGGATGTTACGGTCTCCTTCCTTTTTGCTGAGGGCAAGAATGTAAAGTTGCACATCTTTAAGGTGTCTGAATCTGTATTTACCCAGTTCACTATCCACTGATCTGTAGAAATTTCCATCCTTGCATTCATATTCACTCCATCCCCCTGCTTGGAGTAGGTTACATGCGATATCTCCCCAATATTCGCGTTCTTCCCCAATATCTCCGTTACTGCACTCATAACGGATTTGATAATGTTTATATCCGCTGTGGGTTCCCATTTCGATTCCGAATTGCCATCTCTTGGCTCTTCTTCGTAGTCTGAATAATAACTCACGCTTGCTCAACTCCTCACATGGGATAGTCATGATCCATATCTGCGTCATACTTTACGATCCTGATCTCTACGAGATCGCCTGCTCTGAGGTTCAGTCCTTCCATCACTGCGCTGTCGAGAACTACCGCATAGGTGTTTCCGTGTGTAACAACTTTTTTAGTTATGTACATCTTCTATACTCCGTACGTATGTTATACGCATTACGACTTGTAAACGACGGTTCGCCGAATACGGTCAATCTGCGTATACTTATGTACACCTAGGAGATACAAAAATGTATGGTAGGTACTACAGAAGGAGAAGGTACGGATACAGGAGTAGGCGCAGGTCTTATGGTAGGCGCAGGAGATGGTGATTGAATGGTCTTTCCTCTTCTTGCTGGTGCCACCCTTGGTATCAGTGCTGCTAGCAATCTGTACGCTCAGAAAAATCAGAGGAGGATGTACCGTCAGTTTGCCAAAGGATATGATGCGCTCGATAAAGGATATGGATCTTTCCTCGCTCGTCAAGGAAGGCGTTACAATCCTCACCGCCGTCTTACCTCTTATGGTGGCCAACTCCTCAAAGCTCAAACAAATCTTGAAAACAGCTATACCTCTTCTGTCGGCACTACTGCTTCTGGCCTTGGAGCAGGATTCGCAGTCGCAGGTAGATCTAAAAGATGGATGTGATGAAAAATGAAGTACAAATTCCAGTATTTCTTCGATATTGCCACTTCCGCCGAGTCTATGCAGATCATAAACGTGTCTGCTGGTGGTAACGAAGTTATACGCAGGTGTAGGCATCTCATTGGTGCTTTCAAATACATGAAACTCGGCAATGTCTCTCTCAAGCTGGTCCCTGCATCTACACTTCCCGTAGATCCTCTTGGACTTTCTTACGATGATGACGACCCTCTCACAGTTGACCCTCGTGATCAGCTTAACCCTGGTCTCGTCAGGATCACCAATGGAGAAGATCTGTTTACGAATGTCTCTGATCTCACCGATGAAGAGCAGAAAGGTATGTACAATGCCATGATGCTTGATCCCCGCTGGTTCAAGTGGTCCCTTCAGTCTGGTATGCGTAGGACTGCAGCACCTCTCTACTGGCAGGTTGGACAGCTTCATCAGGACGTCTTCCCGGGTGCAACTACCAACGTTCCGGATCTTGGAACCAATGGTAAGACCGTTCCTCCTGGAATCGATAAAGAGGTGCATTTCGAGTATGCTTCTACCGTTGGTCAGCACAACAACTTCGTACATCAGACCGAACTCGGAAAATCTGATCCT